AAATTGCAGCATTTTGCAAGCTGGTCGCGCATAGGGCAAGTGCGCGAAGGACTCGGATCGGCAAAACAAAAAGCCGAGCAACACGAGTAGAGCAGAAAAAGGATTGATAAATGAGGACAATCAATACAATCAATAAATCATCCCATACATCATATCCAAACCCATCATTCATCTCAGGAAGCCTAGAAACAGTGCTTCAATCTGACAGCTATCTAAAAGGAAAATTCTTATATATATAGCTTAAGTATAGTCTTAATAATTACTTACTTTTTATTATTACCTAGCCTTTATAAGTTAGCTATAGAATTAGCTTATAAAAGTTATTTAGTGCTATAGTTATTTATTATTTTTTAAAAGACTTTATACATAGCTATAGCATGTTTCTTTAAAAGTTTTATGTCTTATTTAAAAGCTTAGAGTATAAGCTATATCTAACATTCTTTTAGCACGTTTAAGTAGTGTTGTTAGGAATATATTAGTGTAAAAAAAGTAGTTTAGTAAGGTCTTAGTAAAAGTAAGCAACTTAGGTGTGTAAGTAACTCGCCTGTAAAGTACGTTATAGTAAAAAATTAAATTATACTAGTTTAAGTTAAACTTTTAAAATAAAATAAAAGTAACTTAATAAATTAAGTATAGCTACTTTTACTTTATTTTTTTTTTACTTAAGGTTTTTTTAACAAAGAGGTGTTTAATAGCGCTATAAGAATAGAAAGATAACATAGCTTATTTAAACCTAAAATTTTTTATTTAGACTAAGTAAAGCTATTCTAGCATAGAATAGCTTACTAGAGTTAAGAAGTAGCTTATCTTAGCCTAAGAAAATCTATTATATAGAAGAAATAAACATTCTAGCCTAGAATAGCCTATACTAGCAAAAAAAAAGGCAGAGTTTAAGTCTAATAAGACATTTTAAGATTATTAAAATAAATAAGCTATAAAGTAAGTAAGCTAAAACTAGATTAATCTATTACTACTAAAATAGTTGCACTTTAAGTCTAAAAGATATAATTTAAGAGTATTTAACTTTTGTGGAGGATAAAATAGCCTGGCAGTAGCTGTTCAGAAGATCGGATGAAGTGACTCCGCTATCTAAGAGAGCTGAGGGCTCTCCTTATATACACCGAGCTTCGGAACATAATATCTCCAGATCCCGAGCTGCGTCCCAGGCTCTGAGCCCCAGTCCCAGGCTCTGAGCCCCAGTCCCAGGCTCTGAGCCCCAGCCAAGGCTCTCAGTATACGCGACAACTTTATTAAGGAAAGAAAAAAAAGCTTAAGCTAAAGAACTTAAAACTACACTATACTATACATTTTTAACTATTTTTACTATAGGATGCGCTAGATTACACTAGATTGTGCTATTAGAGTTACAGATCTACCTAATGTGTGGAGATCAGCGAGACCAGTGGGGTCAACTTCTGGTCTTTGGTTTTTGCTTGATCCCACAAGTATAGCAATCTTAGCGACATCGTCTTCTGATCTCAGGCTTTTGCTTGATCTTTTGAGAGCAGCAATTTTGGCAAGATCGTACTCACATGAGGGTAAGAAAAGGGAGTCCAGGAAGACTATTCCTTATGAATCAAATCTCTGTCTCAACTAAAATTACAATTTATTTCCATGCTGTTCTCCTCTGCACCAAGGGCCCTCCTATAGCATACCAACAGCATCAATGGTATTGCTCGGTACCCTCCGAGCTTCGTTAAGCGACACTACTCGATAATAACATTTCGATAAGAGGTCCAGCTAGCGCTTCATCTAAGCCCAAACTCAGAAGCCTGCTGGCCTTGATACTTGCTGACTGGGATGCTTGGAAGATCTCCCATATATTATTCTTTACAGCAATCTCGATCTGGTAATCCTCAATCATATTGCTTACCACCGGTGACAAGCTCAGGGGAGATAACTGTGGATTAGGTCCGAGCTCGATGACGATAGAATTATCTATTTTCGGGGTAGCGGGAAGCTCGACCTTTGTACTTGGCAGGTTGGGGAAGCTTTCAACACTAATGATCGCTTCAGTTGATATAGAGTCATCTATCAAGACTCTGATTGGAATTGATGTACTGAGCATTGCAATGAACCGGAATGTCCAAGCTCTGCCGGTAGCCATAGTTTCGAGTCTCCCAAGAGCTTGATCAAACTTGATTGGTATCGATCTTATGTGCTCTTCCGTTCCGTGCGACCCTTCATCATCTCGGGTATCTTCTCGGATTGTGAATTGTCCATCCTGACCTACAACAACAAGCACTTCGAAGGATTCAGGATTGGCACAACCATTGGCTGGCATAAGTTCCTTGTCTAATGGGATGATCGAGCCCTCACGGGCTAGGACTGGTATCTGGTGTAATGGACGATACAGATTAATCTCTCGATCGCCATCATAGACTAAACCGGTGAAGATATCAACGTGGCGTTGCGGTGGAACCCAGACTTTGACGTGCGCTCGATTCGTTCTGTAATCCCGCCGACGTACTATGGGAGCAACCACAAGGGCGGATCCAAAGAAGTACTGGTTTGGAACCTTATAGGCTATATCACGGGATGGGAAGCTCCAATAAATTGGCTGTATCAGTGGCGTGCCAGACTCATAGCCGGCAATGTTCATAGAGAAGATGTAAGGCACGAGTCGATGGCGTAGCCGCAGTATGGCTTGTAGAGCAGCGTCACTCTCAGGCCGGTATCGCCACGGCTCTTTCGACATCCAGCGGCTACTAGTGGAATGCAGGCGTAAGATTGGTGAAAAGGCTCCAAACTGTATCCAACGAACTGTGAGCTCATCATCGCGATATCCCCAAAGATGCCCCCCGAGGTCATGGCTCCACCACCCGTAACCAATATTAGAGGCTGTAGCTGTGAATTCCGGTTGGAACTCAAGGGAGTCCCATGTTACAATGGTATCGCCGGAAAAGCCCACTGGATAGCGATGGCTTCCTGGACCAGCATATCTAGAAAAGATAATTGGGCGTTCTCTGACAGTGCGTTGCTTGGTATCGAGAAATTGGAAATGATTCAACATCCACAGGGGATCAATTCCAGGCACACGGGAGTTTTCGCCTTGTTGCCAATCAATCCACCAAAAGTCGCATCCTCGCTCTTCCAAGTGTCGATGGAGAACATTCAAATATGCATACATGAAGTCTTGGGAGGTAGAGTCGAAAAGAATCGGTTTACGGTGGGTTGTATCATGACCAAGGACCCGTGCCATCTCCTCATACATATCTTCGTGGCAATGAACTCCTGAATGTGGGTGGTCATTGAGGGAAGTCTTCAGTCTTTTCTCATGCAGCAACTGCATGAATGAATCAGGGTCAGGGAACAGAGCCTTGTTCCACGTATACCCAGTCCAACCAGCGTGAGGGACATTATCACCCTTCACTATATGCCAATCCATATCGATGACAGCGACGGACAGAGGTATGCCGTGAGCCCTGAAGTTGTCAATTAATTCCAAATACTCAGACGCAGTGTAAGCATGATATCTGCTCCACCAGTTCCCGAGGCAGTATCGTGGTACTATCGGTTGGCGACCAGAAATAGCGTAAAATGATCTCATGGTGTCCCGATAGTTGTGGGCGCAACAAAACAGGTAACCATCAACACGACCACCTGACCGACGAGGAGCCACGAATGCACTGCCATCGAATAGCATGCTGTGGCTATCATCTAGAGCTGCAAACCCCGTTCGAGAGAGAATTCCGGTACCCATATCTAGCCTTCCATCTATGTTGTCTAGAGTTCTTGCTGTGCCTCCGAGGTTCATCAGTGGCGCATCACCGTAACGCCACTCGCTCAGCATATCCATGAGCTTACTGGTGAAGGAAACGAGAAATCCATTTGAACTGAACTTCTTTTTATCGTACGTCAGCTGGAATGCGGGTCCAAATATCTGAAGCTGAGATTCTTCATCCTCGACTCGAAAGTTTGGTTTAGAGAAGTTTCGATTGATGGCAAATGTCGATGCCCTGTCTTCGAAGACACCATCTTCGGACCACTCATATCTCAAAACGATGTCATCAATCACAGTAAAGCGATAGTTCGGACCGGTGACCAGCGACTCTGGGTTCGCAATGGGTTCAGTGGGAAATTTGTATTTGTCCATGCTGTGCTCAGGATGATATGGACCTGTGGAGGTTACGAATGAGTCGGATTTCGTAGATACTCTTTCGATATCAACGACACAGTTTGTGTGGAAGAGGGCGGTCAGAAAGTCTGGAACTATTCGCTGCCTTGAGTTTGATATTCTCTCTGCGTGAAAATAGCCGCAGCGGCATTATAACAGTTCCATTCCCTGTGGTAGAACTGAAGCCCCGCACTCTGCGCAACAGAGCGACAGAGAAGACGTAGCCTATTGGGCGAGAAGATATATGGAGCCATGATATGAGCGGGGGAATCATGTTTTTGATTGGTTCTAGAGAAACCCGGTGAAAGTTCGGACACAAAAAGTAATCCGCATCTTGGGGTGGCAAATTACGAACATAGATACCACTACTTGGCGTAATAATTTCCCATCTACCACTGTATTGAATCTACTACCACACATGTGACGTCAGCCTGAAAAATATCCCAAATGCCACTGCTTCTATCCCATATGCCACCATTCTGTTAGTGGGATTTGCGCCTCCCCTAGATGCTTTTAGTTAGTAGATAAAAACAGTTTTATATAAAAAGAGGGTCTATATAATGTCGTTTTTAGTGGTAGATAGAACTTCTTATTATTCGTGTTAGATTTAGCAGCTTGCTAAAACCGGAATAGTGTATAACGTGTTCAACGCGATTAAAGAGTTGACACGTTTTAACACTAGGTTAGTTAACACAACATTAAGAAGTGGCCGTACCGGCCTACCTTTTCTCGGCAAGCGTAGATGCACACCTTTGTAGGTATTAGCCAGCCCTCCGAAATCAATAAGATTCAATACACGGCTGCTGCACCTTAAGCAATATTAGTGTGCTTAAGCAACAAAAGTCACTGATTATTCAATTGACGCCTGCCCTATCAAGCGCGCGGAAGTCCACGACACGGCAGAGATTCACATCTCAATCTGCACAGCCCCGCCTTGTGACACTCCACGGTTTCTATTATTGGTAATTATTATGTAGGATTCTGTTTTCGTCGAAGTGGTCGCGGTATTTCCAAGGGATGCTTCCACCGACCTTCCCGCGCCGTTTTCAATCTTCCCACAGCCTTTCCCAATTTTCACACTGCCATGTCCGCACATTAGCACAATGGACTCCACAGAGCAGTCAACATCGTATACGTCTGGCTCTACGCCCTATCCTGATCACTCGAAGCAAATCGCCGAATATGTCGCGACTGGTCGCATCAGGCCACTAGTACGCTTTCCCTGCATTTCCAAGCCTCGCGTTGCATTCCTTAGCCCCGCGCTAGTTTGTTCCCCCAACTAAGCACTCGCTCCAGGCTTCGGACCTCTTAGACGAGGATCCATCCGGACCCCCATCTCCCAGGACATACGCGTATACAAAACTACCACACAATGACTCGATCCGCATATTCGTGCTCCAACCCGGCAAGAGCTACGAGCCTTTAACATGCAGCCTGATTCTGGCACGACTCTCTAACATGCCATACGTCGAAGCCATATCATACACCTGGGGCAATAGTGAAAGACTATTCACTGTGTCTTGCGACAATCGCGATATCCGCATCACACGCAATCTACGAAATGCGCTGCGTCAAGTTCGGCACGAAAATGTCACTCGGCTCCTCTGGGCCGATTCCATTTGCATCAATCAAGAGGACTTGGAAGAATTAGGGCAGCAAGTTGCCATGATGGGAGACGTATTTGGCAGTGCAAAACGAGTTCTGATCTGTGTCGGTGCGGATTCCGAATTCCACGCACCCGCTGTGCAAGCCTTAGTAGGCGACGTGAATGCGATGATGGATCGCAGCTTTGCGAACATGGATCTCGAAAACGACAAGTTTCCTTGGATACTCAAAGATAATGACTTGTTGAAGGATCCGCGCTGGTCAAGCTTGAAGGAACTGCTTAGTGTGCCTTGGTTCCATCGCGGGTGGGTCATTCAAGAAGCCCTGCTGGCCGCCACAGCAACTGTGAAGTGGGGCGAGACCGAGATCTCATGGGAGCTCCTCGGTCGTACTCAGCGATGGCTTCTTCGACGTGGGCAGTCCGCTGCAACTACCCACGATATCCATTTAACCCACCTTCTTTGGAACGACTTCAACCATCGACGACCGACCGAGGCGGGCACGATGGAAGATAGTGAGCTCTACTACAACTACACGCTGTTAGAGGTCATGAACTCGGCAAGACGTCTGAGCATGATGGATCTGCGTGATCGCGTGTATGCGTTCTTAGGGCTACATCGAACCACATCTATTGATATGCTAGAGTACATGCGAATCAGTAAAGACAGGCCGGTCCTTGACTACACGATTTCTCATTTACAGGTATATCATAAATTCGCCTCAGGCTACCTCAGCAAGTCTTCCGATCTGAAGTTGTTCATGTTTATCCAACATGACGACGAGAGTCTAGCAGCTGGCATCCCAAGTTGGGCACCACGATGGGACCTGCACGAGTGCAAGCATCCGATCGGGGATAGCACCTGGCCGCTTCTCCAGTCGGCCGATGGATCGGGTCCGAAGGTCGAGGTTCGCTCCGAGGACGAAGTGCAAGTTCGAGGCGTCATTGTCGACCGCGTGGTATTGACATCAGAGCCACATCCAGGTGACGGCATCTCGCTCGACATGGCCCTATCCACGCTAGGACTATTCTGGTCTTCTGCCAGATCCCACGTGTCTCCATATAAGCTGAGTGATCGAGGAAAGCACTTAGCGCGCACTCTCCGATGCGGTCGTTTTCGTGGTCACCGCGAAACCTGGGACCAACATGAATCTGCTTATATTCGCCTTCTACTTGGGTATTCGGAGGTAGCTCATGAAGAGCGGGGCTATGGTATCGATGTCGAAGCACTTTCTGGACATGGCGATGCAGAATTCGCGAATGTAGCATTTCGCTCGCGGCTGGTGGGGAGAAGAGTATTTTTGACCGAGCGTGGATATTTTGGCCTTACGGGTAATGTAGTGCGGAAGGGCGATCTTGTTGGAATTGTTTTTGGGACCGCAACACCATTTCTGTTCAGGAAGTGTAATGACAAATATCAGATCCTTGGTGATGCGTATGTGGAGAGTAAGACTGGTGGACTCCTGGGGCGAGAAGATGAAGACTCGTTCCTTGGAAGCAAAGACTGGGTCCACTGGGACGTCGAAGAGCAGGACCTAATTCTTATATGACTACAATTTGTGAGCGGGGGAGCAGACTTGTCAATAATCAAGTCGACTTAGTAACTTAACTTAATTGGCTTGATTATATTAAGTTAACGTACCTAACGGGTTGGCCGGCCACTTTTGCCAAGCCCCTACTAAACTCTACCTATCTACATAATGCCTTAACAACAACACTAGATTAAATCTTCTAAAAAACGTTAGATATAGCTTACTTTTTAAGCTCTTAAATAAGACTTAAAACTTTTTTTATAACATGCTGCAGCTATTTATAATGTTTTTTACACAACACTAAGCAATTAACGCGCTAGACAGCCTTTATAAGCAGAATGCTAGCCTAAATTAAGGAATCTAACTAAGCTTAAAAAAAAAGTAGTTATTAAGTATATACTTAAGCTTATTATACACAGATTTCCCTTTAAGCTTACAGCTATAGCTAATATAGCTAATTCCTTGCCTGCAGAGCGTAATCTAGGCTAGGTTAGCTTAAACTAGCCTAGTATATAGATTAAGCACTACCCTAAGTTTATAATAAAGTTTAATTATAAGTATAATTATAAAAAAGTGCTTTATAAAGATCTAAAGGTTATCTAAGGCTAGTTTTACCTAGTAGCTAACATAAAAGCTAAGTATAGTATCTAAAATAAAAACAAGTATAACTTTAATAAGTTAAGCTTTATAATAGGCTAGATATTAACTAAAGTAGTTATTATAGCTTTAGAGAGATAAGAACAGCTAAAGGTAATATAGCAAAGTAATAAAAAGTAAATAATAGTTATCTAAAGTATTAATATAATAAAGTAGGCTATAAGATTATAAAGCTTTAAGTAGTAAATAAAGCTACTACATAACATAAATGTTACAATCCTTACTCCGGCGAAATGGTATTTTCGGGAGTACAACGGCCTATGGGGTGGTTAGCGGAGAGGGATAGGACTTAGCTGGATCAGGTGTACGGTCCGTCGAGCAGAGTACAGGGCAGGGCGAGATATAGGAGGCAGGTTGTGGTTTAACCTAGCAGCTGTATAGGGGGCTAGTAAACGTGATCTGTAAGGATAGAGATAGAGGTATATATAGTGTAAGATATATAAGGCAGTAAAGTTCTCTTTATAAAAGTTTTAATGCCTTTTAGTTTATTAAATAGTAAAGACTAAATAATAAACTTAACAGTAATTATAACCTTCTAACTATAGTTATAATTAAAACTATATACATAAGGTTTACATGCGTTTGCATGCGTTGCAGGTGTTGCATGCATTGCCTATAACTACCTGCAATGCCTGCATTACCTGTAATGCTTTAGTTTCTATTAGACAGTGCACTCTATAAGGCTTTTATCTAAAAGCTAAAGCTATTCTTTATCTGTCCTGTTACATAATTTGCTTAGCATAGGGCTAAGCGCCTTCTATCTAACATTGTTTAGGCTATGTAGGACAGCTAGTTAGGTTATTACAGTTTAACTATTAGCTGTAACACGTAGGCTTCCCTTTTAGTTAGCGTTCTTGCTATTATGTTCTTTTTATTATAAGTGTTAGATTTTTTTTTTAACTAGTGCATTCTTATCTTTAAAGGCTAGTCTAATATTTATCTTTCTTAACTATGCCTTATTAGGTTCCTTGTACTTCTGCTGTTGCCTGTTACTTTTATACTATTACTTATCTTAACTTTTATTGTTATATAAAAATGCGTTCTTATAGTCCTTATTAGTCTTATAGTTCTTCCTATGTAATGTCCCTATTATTAGACAAGTGCGTAGAGTGTGTGTAAAAAAGTAGTTATTATAATGCTTTTATTTCTAATGCAGCTTAAAATTGCTTAGAGTGTAAAAAAAAAAAACTGCTTAAAGAGCTAGAGGCAGCTAAAGAAAAAAAAATAAGAGAAAAGAAAAAAAAAATGCAGAAGTAGGCTAAGTCTCTAAGGCGTCTTTAGTCTTTTATAGCTTAGCAGAAATAAGTTTAAAAATAGTTAAAGATTCTAGCAAATTAAAAAGTAAAGTACTTAAAAAAAGACCTTTTATTACTAGATAAGCTTAAAGCGCTTAAGGTAAAAGCAGCAGGTCTTCTTTCTTCTTAGCCTATGTTAAAGGGTTGCAGACATTTTACATTGCAGCTAGCTAATGCTGCTATAGTTTTAATTAATAATAGTGCTTTCTAGTTTAGAGGGCCTTCTCTAGAATAGTTTTGTTTAGAAGAGACTCTAGGTATTTATAAAAGGCTTAAAAGGCTTTTAATAGGCTTTTAATAAGTTTTTAAGTGTTTTTACTAGTAAGCTATTCTTTTTATTTTACTAAATACTTATTTTTTTTATAGTCTAAGATTTTTTTTACTTTATATTCTTTTTCTTCTTCTTTTTATTTAGTAGTTATAAGTAGAATAGTTTTAAAAGTAAGTTTAAGCTTAAAAATATAAAACTAAAAGTATATTTATATTTTTTTTAGTAGCTTAAGCTTATAAATGCTAAGGCGCGTTTATATAACCTAGTATAGTCTTATGTGTTTTTCTGCTAACTTTCTTAAAGGTCTTAGTGTCTTAAGGTTCTTTATATTTAGATATATATAGTTATTTAGGTGTATTTCTAGTGTAAGTTTTTTTTTTATTTACTGCTTTTTCTATAGTTTTCTAGGCTAATTAGGCTTTTTTAGTAAGTTTCTAATATAGTTCTAGAAGTTTAGTTATGTAATCTATAGCTTTTAAAGGATTAGTTAATTATAAGCTATAGAGCTTATATTATAAAAAGTAACTAAAATTAGCTTTATATAGAGTTTCCTTAGTAGTGGCTAATTTTAAGGTGTTAATAACAAACTATGCTATTAGCAGCTATTTTACCTAATCTATTTATTTATATAAGACATATTTTTGTAGAAATTTTTTAACTTTTATGTTTACTCTTTCTATTTGTCTGTCTGTTTGTAAATAATAGGTAGTAAAGAGCCTATAGTTAATTCTAAGGTGTTTAATTAAGGCTGTCTAGAATTTACTAGTAAATAATTTATTATAATTAAAGATAATAATTTTAGGGTAGCTATAAGTTACAAAGACATTTTTTTTTAGTTTAAATATAAATTCTTTAGCTATAATAGTTTTTTTTAATAGCTATAGATAAATAAACTTAGTAGTTTTATCTATAACCTATGCAATTATATTACAGAGTCTTTTAGTGCTAGGCTTGTGTAAGGGTAGTAGCCTAGTTATAAAGTCTATAGTTATTATTATCTATAGTTAGCTAGGTGCTGTAATTAGCTAAATTAATCTATAAAGTTTATGCCTTTATAAGTTATTTTTATTGCAGGTATTACATTTCTATAGAACTTTAGTACATAGGTGTTTTAATTAGGGTACTTCTTAGAGTATAGTAGTTTTAATTTTCTTTTATAGCAACCTAATCTCTAAGTGTCTAAACATAAGAGCTTTATAATATTCTTTTATTAAGTTTTTCTATTCTTATTTAACTATTATAAAAGAACATAGTAGTTCTTTTTAGTTAAGTCTTCTATAGATTAGTCCTTCTAGAGTTTCTTTAAAGATTATAAATTCTTTAGAATTTTCTTTATTAGTTTTAAAATAGTCTGCGCGCCTACTTAAGGCATTAGCCTACTAATTGCTGCTTCTTGCTACATGTTTAATAATAAAGTTAAATTAAGTAAGTTCTATAGCCTATTATACATACATTAGTAATAGTTTCTTAGTAGTAAAAAAAGTAACAAAGTTTATATAGTTAGTAAGAATTATAAATTATTAACTAAGGCTTTAAAGCTTAACTTTTTAATTTCTATATACATTAACTATAGCTTTTAGTTCTTTGTTAGAGATAGTATATTTTTACTCTAATAGTGTAAATTTTGCTAAGTAGTAAGCTACTAGATGCTATTAACTATTTTCTTGTTTTTAGGAAAGTGCTGCTTTTTCTGCTCTTAGAGAGGCGTCTATGTGTACTTTTGTCTCTAGTAAGGGGTTGTACATCCTAAGGATAGAGTATCTTATAATTATTTATTTTAGCTGTTAGAAGGCTTCTTTTATTTCTAGTGTCTATTAAAATTTCTAAGTTGCTCTTTCTTTTAAGGTAGTGTCTGTAAGGGGAAGCGCTATTTTTAAGTAGTCCTTAATTATTCTTTGTACGTAGCTAGTAAGGCCTAGAAATCCCTTAATTTCTGTTACAGTTATTAGTGTTAGCTAGTTAAGTACCTTTTCTACTTTAGTAAGGTCTATCTTTATTTCTTCTTTATTAATAATAAATCTTAAGTATTTAGTTTTTTATATATTAAATTTATATTTTTCTAGTTATAGGTAGAGTTTATATTATTAAAGTTAATTAAGTATAAGTTTTACTTTAGATATGTAATCTACTTAGTTGTTTTTAGTGTATATTAGAACATTATCTAAGTACACAAGTATAAATATGTCTAAATAGAAATTAAGTGCAGTATTAATAACTTATTAAAAGGTTGCTAGGGCGTTAGTTAGTCTAAATAGCATAATAAAAAGTTTATATAATCCTTCTAGAGTTTAAAAAGCTGTTATCTATTTATGTCTTTCTTTAATCTTTATTTTATTAAATCTATCTTAAATGTTAAACTTAGTAAAGTGTTTAGTTCCTTTAAGCTAGTTTATAATATTTTAAATAATTAGTAAAGAATACTAATCTTTTATAGTGTTATTATTTAAGGTTTAGTAATCTTAACATACTCTTACTTTACTATTCTTCTTTTTTACAAAAACTACTGCTAATGCTATTAGACTATTGCTTTCTTTAATATGTTCTTAAGCTAGCATTCTATCTACATATTCTTGTAAGGCGTTCTTTTAGGCTTTTATTAGAAGTTATAGTTTGTAGGTCTTTAGTTATAGGTTTAGTTTAAAGTTAATTGCGTAGTTCTAAGGCTAATGTAGTAGCAGTTCTTCTAGATCTTCTAGAGTCTTAAACATATCTTTATAGTCTTAATATTTTTCTAGTAGCTTACTTATTTTTTAAGATATTTAATAAATTTTAACTTAATTAAGGTCTTATTTTTTTTTAAATTTTTTAAAGG